TTAACTCTGCTGAAAGCTGACACTTTTGTACCCATGCCTTTGAAAGATTGCCCACAGTTACCTAGTGAGTCTTATGACTGGCTAAGTTTTGAACCTATCTGTCTTTAGTTCTAGTGCTAGGCTGACACTGTAACCATGGTGTTAGACATCTCATTTCAAATAAAAAACAGATGCTTGGTTAGTAAAATAAAAATATTTTAAGCAATCTAAATAAAATTACACTCTATTCAGAGCATAGCATCGTAAGTCAGCTCACATACTACTGTATTTGGGGCACTGGAACTTTTTCCAGAAAATTTTGAATGTGAAATGTTGTGGAAGAGCCATTACTTTTTCTCTCTCTCTCCCTGCCCCTCACTCATTTTTTTTAATATTGCGCGCGCGCACACACACACACACACACACACACGTATAAAATTGCAGAAGTACCAAAAAAATAGGAGAATGTATTGGAAACACATATGCAAAGCACTCATATGAAGGTGGTTTGTAGGTGAGATAAAATGATTGATGATGCTTTATTTTTATATGTCTTAGCTGTCCTTGCCAACTTCTCATGTATCAATTCTTGCTTCAGCAGAATCTCTTTTGCAGCATAAGAAAATGATGAAGAACAGGATTCTAGTAAAAAAAGGAAAGAGTGAAAGCTCCCTCACTCATATTTTGCATTGAGGCTCCAGTTAGTCTCTAGGCTCTCTCTGGTGTTTTGTGGGTCAGAATTCTGCAATGTGTCATACCACATAATAAGGGTAGCATGTAGTTTGCCCTCTTGTTGCCCAGAAGAGACCATTAGCCCAGATGTTTTGCACACTTTTCTTGGCAATAGCTGCCCCTCTCAGCTCCCACAAATTGCTTACTCCAAAGGGAAGAAAGATATGCACAGTGCCCTGATCTCACTGCAGGAAAAACATGACATAATTCCAACCTAATAAACTTACTTACTTTATTATTGTGCAATATGCAGTCAGGCTTTTTGCATAAATAGTAATAAAAACCACAGTTAAAATCTGACAATTAATATCTAACATATAAGTAAGTACACAATCAGCAAGGTAATAAAATAATAATACTCAATAGTCAAAGCATCAAGTAGTAAGGTTAACATATAAAGATTTGTGAAGCACACAATGAACCCCATCTTTCCATAGATTGTTTAATGAATATGACAGTCCCATGGGATATATAGTAGTCTGTGCCAGCTGGCAAAAGTAGAACTGTACACAGAGGATATTTGATCCTGAACCCAATTGTTAGGGGTTTAAGATACTGAACTCCTAACTGAACATATAGATGTTGTTAAAAATATATCATGCCCTCCAACTTAGAACACCCTTCTTGGATTTAAGATACTGAACTCCTAACTGAACATACAGATGTCATGTTGTTAAAAATATATCACGCCCTCCAACAATACCTACATGCATCATTTTGACCCTAAACCTCTTTCAAATTGCAGTTAGTCAGGAGCTGTCTCTGTTCATGCGATCTATGGACAAATATGGGGGGACCTTTGAAAAAGGGAAATAATGGCTCTTATAAAATCTATTGGAGCAGCAGTTAAATACAGATGTCATGGTTTCTGGATATCAGTGTCATACAGTCTTTTAATAAAATACTTTTGGGCAGTCTCAAATTGCCTCCTGTGGGTTAGGCTGAATAATAGACTAGTTTAGATACACGTTCAGATGTCTGAGCTGCCTAGGAGTCTCTTCCCATTTTCTTGTAGGCCAGTAAAACTAGGGGTGAAGCCATCTGAAATACTGTCTTGAGCCACAATAAAATGGGAGTAGAGGGCATGGTTGTTGGTTTGCACATTACTCAGCAACTGAAGAAGGCATTGTTTGTACAAACTACTGGTAGTCAAACACACATGGACTGCTCTGTGCTGCCAGGGAAGACATTATCATTTTTCATTCCTGGCTTGAGGCAAGCTAAACCTAGAAATGGGAGGGGTGTGTGCAAATAATTGAACCCTCGATTACTATATTCAAGGTTTCATTTGTCTGGTAGAGCTTCTAGGTAAATTGTTCACCCTCTCTTCTTAGCTCTTCCCGTTCATGGTGGATTCTTCTGTGTCTTGTTTATAACTATCCGTTTGCATGTACTTAGACTTTAGGTAATGGAAATGTTTTAACAACCAGACAGATAAAATGGCAGGCTTATATCCATAAATGATGCAAGACTTACCAATCAATAAATAAGTAAATAAAGAAATAAAGCCAGCTTGTATGCCATTGGTTCAGCTTTTGTTTACATTATGGATTAAGGACACTGAACGGCCTTTCGTAAATAATGAAAATTAAGTATATAATCTTGAGAATGTGTTTGCGATTTCTGCAGACTGGGGATGTTTTTTAACCCTTAGCAGATGTGCCCCAAATATCTCCTAATCCCAACGGCATTGTTTCTTTCCTTTTTAAATTATTTTTTCCCTAATCTAAATGAGAAAAAGGAAATTAATCCCAAGGGTGCTTATTTTGTATAGTGGGAGCAAAGGGGATTGAGGAGGAGAAAACAGGGTAGCCATTCAGTATATCCAGAAATTGTGATAAACAATGCTTCATTGTGATGATAATGAGCCTAACCTCCCCTAAGGCTTGAGTGTTCCACTTCCTTTCTCTGATGGGGCTGCAAGGAGGTCAGAAGTTTTGGCCTCTGCCATTAATTAAAAAAACTGTTGATCAAAATATATGAAACCTAACCTGTGGTTGATCTGAATTATGATTTGTTGAATCAATCTGGATGAAAGTTTGAAGTGGTCTTGTTTCAAATGACAGATAGTTAAGATAGTTTGTCACTTTCAGGAGAAATAAAAAATTGTAGTAAATTTAAGATGATCAAAAACTAGTTTCCAAACTCCTCGGAAGTGTACTGCAAGAGAGGGAAAGGGAAGCATGTGGGAAGTCTTGCTGATTTCCATAGTTTGTTTTGATGGCCCAAGTGTAGCCATTGACTTCACTTCTCCCTTTGCTCAAGTTATATATATAAAAAGGGTGAACCAAGCTTATACACTGGGAGATCATCGAATCACTTATAGAATACATATAAAATATTCCATGAATCTCTTTGTGGTCACTCTAGCTATCATATCGCTACTGGTGGTGTGTCAGTTGAGCTGATTCGCATATGGACCCAGGAGAGGATGGGTATGCAGTTCAGGTACCTAGAATTTTGAGTGAACTGGAGCTTGTGAGTGCAAATTAATATAAATAGGTCCTATTCACCTGAATTAGTTGCAACATTAATAGAAAGATCATCTTAGGATTGGTGCCCTTGTTTATCCTGCATGGTCCCTGCTTTATGATTAAGGAAAGCTGGAGAATGGCTGAGGGAATGTGAACCCATTGTGTCCCGCTGCATGTTCAGCTTATGTGCTGGGTCCATATCTAAACCAGTCCAGAAAAAGAAAAGCTCATTTTTACCCTGTGAAGAATTCATGTATGCAAAAAGGCTTTTCACATAGTCATGATTCAAACGTTGAAGCCAAATCATCATCTTGGGTCAATAAAACTTCCCATGCAGTCAAGGAATTCACGGTTTGTTTGTTTTTTAAAGGGACGCTGTTGGTGGTTCTTGAGCTTTTTCTGTTCTCTGTGTATCTAACAAATGCAATGCTTTACTACCTCTTTCATCCCATTGATATTGGTTAGGAGATCACTTGGAATTGGGAGAAAGAGAAAAAGGTCAAGAGTCCCCAAGATAGGCATTGTTCATTCATTCAGGTTTCTTTGGAAGAACATCAACAACTTGAAGGTGTAAACAAATGGGAAGCTCAAACAAGTCTAGGATAACTGATTGTGTAAACAGAACTTGAGCAAATAAAGCCTGTTTCCCTGTTGCTATTTACATGTTTCCACTTTATTCACTAAAAATAAAATTCACTTCTGCCATCTTGGATATTTGCACATAACTTCCTCTGTCCTGCCTTGTCCACCTTGTATTTCAAAACTGCACTTTGCTTTCAGACATGGGCATAAAAGATTAAGGGAACATTCAGAAGCAGAGACAGCCAAATAAGGAACAAAAGAGGGGGCTTAACAATTAAGAGGGAACACAGTGGTTTGTTGACTTGCCAAGAGACATTTTTGACCTTGGTGAAATTTGTAGTGCTTACTCAAATAGCAATGAAGAATTTTCATTGAAGAATGTGCTGTTATTTAGGAATTTGTGGGCTGTTATTTTTGCTTGTGAGGATGATCATGATTTAAACATTGCAGACAGTAATGACAGCTGCCACTTCTCTTGTTTATTTGTTATCATTGTGTTTTTGCACGTACATGAGTTCATGTCAATGTCTTGCTTGTTTGGCATCAATTGTCCTTTCATCAGGCTTGGAAGATGTCACTCCAAGTAGAAATCAGGGTTTTATCAGTAGATAGTATCCAACCTCAGTAGAACAGGTCTATGCTTAGCCCTTTATTTGCCATTCTCAGCAATTCAAAACTCTGAATGTGCAAAATCACACTGCCTTGAGAGATCTTAATTGTGGCTATTTGGTAATTAAAGGATTGGCTCTGATTAGGTAACAGATATGATGCTTTTGTTGTTTGAGTAGAAAGCCTCTTGATACTTGTATATTTTCAGACATTTTAATAAACTTTAAAAACCTGTCTAATTCTTCCACCACTTAGTTTCCAACAATCTTTAGAAGTTTTTTTTATTTTTTACATCAGCTCTGTAAATTCCTGTCATGAGCACGAACCATTTTGCAAAGCATGGAGTCTGCTGCAGTGAAAAGCATGAAAGGGCTTTCCGGTAGAGGAGAACGGATTGACTGAAACCTAGTAAATAAAAGCAAACTATGTGGGTTAGTTAGATTGTCAAATTTGTTTTGCGAAATTAATCATTAGTAGCTGAACAATTTCAAATCACAATCTGCATTTTATTTTTAAGGAAATTCGCCATTCATTATTGTGTCAGGTTGTTGGCTTTTGAAACACTAAACATTTCAGATATGACTATTTCCTCCTATCTGACAGTAATTTCTTTTTCATTTTTAGGAGAATCCTGTGAAGTGAATGCTCGCTCTGGACGCTGTGCTCCAGGGGTGTGCAAGAATGGAGGGACATGTGTTAATCTTCTTATAGGAGGGTTCAAATGTGTGTGTCCCCCTGGTGAATATGAAAGACCTTATTGTGAGATGACCACGAGAAGCTTTCCACCAGAGTCGTTTGTCACCTTCAAGGGTTTAAGGCAACGCTTCCATTTCACTGTCTCTCTCATGTAAGTTTCCATCTTTCCAAGATCATATAAAGACTTCCCAAGCAGAGTTTACATCAGCTATGGTGCAAATCAAGAGTAGCACACAGCTATTTGACCCAACTCCAGGAGGCAGTGGAAGACAGGAGGACCTGGCGTGCTTTGGTCCATGGGGTCATGAAGAGTTGGACACGACTAAACGACTAAACAACAACAACAAATATGTGCTGATGTTTTTGCAGTATCTCACAATGGGAGTTTGTTGCTTGTTGGTGTTGAGGATTTCCTTGTCTTGCATGCTTACTCTGCACAGTTGGGAACTATTTATTTGAACTAGAGATTGAGTTAGAAAAAAGGACCCCATGTGCTTAACAGTAATTGTTTCTAATGCAGGAATATTATTTAATTCAAAAGGTTCAGGCAGTCCAATCCATTCAGTTCAGGAGCCACTTATGGTATTTAGAATACTCCTACAATTTCAGGCTGGCATGCTGTTTTGAGCCTCAAACTCTGCGTGAGCGGCAAAGAGTTGTCTTACACAAAATTACAAAGGTTCATCCCCTTTTCTGCAATTTTTATTTTTAAAACAAGGCACATCTCCACAAATTGTGCTGCTATTTAACAAAATTTCAAGTTCTGAAATCATATGGAGGCTGTGTGTTATGTGTGCCATATGCCATAGCTGAAAAAGCAAATGCTATGAAAATAGCTCAGAAGCAGCACAGAATTGTCTACTTACACATCACAAACTGTTTCTTTTCCCAGTTAAAGCTATTATTGCATTTTTAATCACTTGTGAGGTGTGCACTGCCTGTTTTTAATCTCAGTACTTTCTCTCTTGCTTCCATCCATTACCAATGCACCAATGCGTACTTCCTGAAGCCAATGAACACTTCCTTAAAGATGCTGCTCTTCATTTCCAGCTTCATATAATACTGTTCTGGTGACTTGTCTCTGATGAAAGTAGTATATTGGAATTAGCAGACCAGAATTTACTAAGCACACTTTTAGCAGAAGGTTTTTATGTTGTAGACTGTTACTCAAGGCAATACATAATGCAAAGATTAAGCAACAAAATTTGCTTTAAAAATGCTAGCAGTGGTACAATAAAGTAAACCATTACCAAGTAACTCCCTGGTAGATAGTGGAAATGCTGCAGATGTAATATATCTTGACTTCAGCGAAGCCTTTGACAAAGAGCCCCATGATATTCTGATTAGCAAGCCAATGAGGTGTGGGCTAGATAGAACAAGTATCAGGTGGATACACGGTTACAGAATCATACTGAGAGAGTGGAAATGCTGCAGATGTAATATATCTTGACTTCAGCGAAGCCTTTGACAAAGAGCCCCATGATATTCTGATTAGCAAGCCAATGAGGTGTGGGCTAGATAGAACAAGTGTCAGGTGGATACACAGTTGGTTACAGAAACATACTGAGAGAGTGCTTATCAATGGCTTCTTCTCAAACTAGGAGGAGGTAACAAGTGGGGTACCACAAGGTTCAGTCGTGGGGCCCATGCTCTTCAACATTTTTATTAATGACTTGGATGAGGGAGTGCAGGGAATACCGATCAAATTTGTAGATCACACGAATTTGGGTGGAATAGCTAATACCGTGGAAGATATGAACAACATTCTAGAAGATCTTGATAGGCTTGAGCACCAGGTTGAAAACAATAGAATGAAATTTACAGGGGTAAATGCAAAGTTCTACAGCTAGAGGAAGAACACTGAAATGCACAGTTACAAGATGGGGGATACTTCACTAAGTAATACTTATGAATGAGAAGGATCCTGGAACTGTTATGGATCAAAAGCAGAATATGAACAGTGCAATATGGCTGCAAAAAAAGACAAATGCTAATTTAGGCTGCATTAACTGATGTATAGTCTCCAAATTTCACGAAGTATTAGTTCTTCTCTATTCAGCACTGGTTAGGTCTCATCTAGACTACTGTGTCAAGTACTGTATGCCACACTTTAAGAAGGATGCCAACAAACTGGAGGAAGTTCAGAGAAGGGCAACAAGAAAGATCAGGGGGTTGGAAATTAATCCCTATGAGGAAAGACTAAAAGAACTGGGCATACGTAGCCTTGAGAAAAGAAGACTGAGAGGAGATATGGTAGCACTTTTCAAACACTTGAAAAGTAGTCATACAGAGGAGGGGCACAATCTGTTCTGGACCATCTCAGAGTGTATACACAATAATGGGATCAAGCTACAGGAAGCCAGATGTATGCTGAATATCAGGAAGACTTTTTAACTGTTAGAGCAGTATGACAATGGAACCAATTACCTTGAGAGTTGGTGAGCTCTCCAACACTGCAGGCATTCGAAAGAAAATGGGATCTTCTTTATTTGGATTCCTGCGCTGAGCACTGAGTTAGACTTAATTACTTTATAAGCCCCTTCCAACTCTGTTATTGACTGATTCTTTGATTCTATGATTGAGTAGACAGAACTGCAATAATTGAAGTTAAAACTTATAAATCTGAAATTCAATTTGGAATAAAACCAATTGAAAATACAAATAGATCTTCAGAGCTTTCCTAAAGGCAAAGAGATATAAGCATTCCCAGATGACAACTCATTCTAAGGTGGGAAGCCAATGCACAGAAAATCTTCTCCCTTGTACTTTGCTGAAGAGTAGATTTGGCCTTTGCTGCTGATGTTAAAATGTGACAAGCCAGTATGAGTGAAGTTAGTCCTTAAAGTATCTTGGTCTTCGTCCATTTAAAGTTTCAACAGTTAAAACCAACAATTGAAAGTTTGTTTTTGCAGCCTACATCTTAAAATATCCCCCAGGAATTTCACATGGGTGATACAGAGAATGGCACAGAAGATGGAACCTTATGGTGGGTTGTGAGGTGGAACCAAAGACCCCCAGCACTATCTTCCGTGACCTTTCCTCCACAAAGAAATAGTGGAACCACCAAGACTGTGCTCTTAAACACAAGCTAGAGCAACAATCCAGGATATATTTCTGATAAATCATGCTTAGCATTGGATTATTTTGAAAGTATGAAAGTAATACATATTGCTTAAGCACAATGGTGTCTTGCAATATCCCATGTCTATTGTATTAGTATTTTTCCTTTTGTCTGGCAAAGCCTAAAGAGGTTTTGTTGGTATCTGGTCAGTGAAATATGAGTTTAACAATAGCACAGAAAATAGACATAGCACCTGTCTAAGAAAGCGCTTCCCGAAACCCTTCAATGGTTTCCTCATATTTTTCTGTTGCATTGCAGTGTGAATATTAAACAAAAAACAGGATGAGGCTTTAACTGTATGAGAAAACTTGATGGCATCAGTGGGAACCCAAGAAAAATTTAGCTCCCTACCAAATGGTATGCAGCAAGTCAGTAAGAGAGAGCACAGTGTTTCACCGCAGTGGTACTGATGGAATTAACTTCTCCATTTAAAAAACATATTTATTTATTTATTGAATTCGTACCCTGCACCATCTGGCAACCAGGCTAACAACAGTATAAACAGCAATATTAAAAGACGATAAAAATAAATTAATTAATACAAACCAAATAGGGTAAATTAAAACAGACAGCAATAAAGTTGGTAAAAAGGGTGATGGAGAGGATGACAAAGAGGATGGTAAAAGGGAGGCCGAGATCTTAACGCTCCGGGAAAGTTTGATGGAAGAGCCAAGTTTTCAACACTCATTTAAACCTATCCAGCAAGGGTGCCAGATGGATCTCAATGGGCAGGTTGTTCCTTAGGTGGGGGCAACTGCCGAGAAGGCCAGGTTTCTTTCCCTCTGTGCCTCCTTCGGGGTAAAGGTCCTCAACCTCCCTGCCTGTGAGGAACAGATATTACAGACAGATCTGGGTGGGAGCAGGCGTTCTGATAGGTACCGAGGTCCTAAACCATTTAGGGCAGTGGTGTCCAACCTTGGCCCTCCAGATGTTCTTGGATTTCAACTCCCAGAAATCCTGGCCAGCAGAGGTGGTGGTGAAGGCTTCTGGGAGCTGTAGTCTAAGAACATCTGGAGAGCCAAGGTTGGACACCACTGATTTAGGGCTTTGAATGTTATCATCATAACCTTGAAGTCGATGCAGAAACAAACCAGTAGCCAATGAAGGGCAGCCAGAGTGGGGGAGATGTGCTGTAATTTCTTCCCCCCAGTTATTAATCTGGCCACCAAATTCTGTACCAGCTGAAGTCTCCGCATCAGCCTTAAGGGTAGCCCCACGTAGAGAGCACTGCAGTAGTATATTCTTGAGATTATGAGGGCATGAATCAGCATTGTGAGTGCCCCCACATCTAGACAGGGACACAGCTGGGCAATCCTCCGAAGATGGGAATGGGCTGCCCAGACCATAGATGCCACCTGGGTTTCCATGGTGAGATCCAAGTCCAGGTAGATGCCCAAGCTGTGAACCTCACTCTTCATGGGAAGAGTCATGGGTGATATTAATCACCTGCTTAATATTTTACATTGTTGCTGTCAGTTGGAGGCAGGCAGTGCATCAATTTGAAGAGACACTTGTCCAGCAGGCCGAGGCAAAGAGGCAGTCTCAAAACCAGCAAAATCAGGAAGCTGGACAGGGGACAAATTGTATTTGTCTTCAGTGTGGAAGGGATTGTCACTCTTGAATTGGCCTTCTCGGCCACACTAGATGCTGTTCCAAGTCTTCCATACAGAGCACGTTACCATAGTCTCTCGAGACTGAAGGATGCCTAATCTAATCCTAATCTGCTGTCAGTCAGGGGGAAAATGCTGGGCTATGGCCCAATAGTCTGACCTGGCATAAGATAGCTTTCTATCTTCTTATTCCCCAAGTGTGCCTCTTTATTTTGTCCCATATAAATAAAAGTTCGGAGTTTACCTGTGTTGAGAAAAATAAACTTGGGAGACCAATTAGTGGATGCCAAACCTGCCCTCTGCTCCCAACAGGACAATCTCACGGGGATGTAATTTATATCTAGACAGAGCCTTCTCCCCTACCCCAACAATATACTGTATGTCAGAAGTGCAAGATTTTGCTAGTTTATAATAAAGATGAAGTTTAACTAGTTGTTGTTTAGTCATTAAGTCATGTCCAACTCTTTGTGACCCCATGGACCAGAGCACGCCAGGCCCTCCTGTCTTCCGCTGCCTCCCGGAGTTGGGTTAAATTCATGTTGGTTGCTTCGATGACACTGTCCAACCATCTCATCCTCAGTCGTCCCCTTCTCCTCTTGCCTTCACACTTTCCTAAAATCAGGGTCTTTTCCAGAGAGTCTTCTCTTCTCATGAGATGGCCAAAGGATTGGAGCTTCAGGATCTGTCCTTCCAGTGAGCACTCAGGGGTGATTGCCTTCAGAACAGATAGCTTTGTTCTCCTTGCAATCCAGTGGACTCTCAAGAATCTCCTCCAGCACCACAATTCAAAAGCATCAATTCTTCGGCGGTCAGCCTTCTTTATGGTCCAGCTCTCACTAGTTTAACAACTAGTGTTACATAAAGAGGCTGCCCTGTATTAACAAAAGAAATGCTTTGTCATTCTTCCATGATGGGTTTACAGAACTACCTGGTCTTCAGATAATTCTGTTATGTGTGTTCTTCTATGTCTCATCTAGGTTTGCAACAAGAGAAAGGAATGCTCTGCTTCTCTATAATGGTCGTTTTAATGAGAAGCATGATTTTATTGCGCTTGAGATAATAGAAGAACAGATCCAGCTGACATTCTCTGCAGGTAAGGTATTTCTGCCTGTTTAGCCTGTGAAAAGTATCAGAAAATCGTACTGGACATAACTTCTCATTAGATCTTGAAATGTCACTGGTGACATCATACAGTTGCCATCCAAAGGCTACCGTGTAACATAGAAAATGTACAAGGAGTACCAATGTTCCTAGATGTTTTGTACTACAATTTCCATAATTTCATGAACTTTGGTCATGTTGTCTGGGATGGATGGGAATTACAGGCCATCATGTCTGGAGGGAGCGTGGGCACATCCCTGCCAGCCTCATTGTCCCTTCTGATTTTAAAAAATGTTAAGAGCATTAATTTTTAAGAAAAAGAATAAGTGTAATGTGGGAGGCCAGCATATTGCAAAGTGATATGTCAGTCTGCATGACTAACTCTGTTTCCTAAAATATCTCATATGGTTCTGCACAGAGGATTCTTCCAAAATAAAATTGTTAGGGAGCAGCAGCCATTTGCAGTAGCACTCAAAAAGGAAAAGCAAGCTGCAGTGGGAGTGGCCTGGAAGGCTAGACCTTGGCAGGAACCATCAAGGCACGTTGGATGGGGGAGCAGAGAGCAAGAGGATAGTCTCCTTCTCTGCATATGCATTTGGCTCTGTGTTGTTTGTTTTTGGGTTTGGCTTATTTATTTTTATTTATTCATTCCTTACATTCATAGCCCGCCTATCCAGTGCCAAAGAACTACTCTGGGTGGCTAACAGCATTTAAAAACAAACTCATCCCCACTCACAAGGCATAAATAGTGAGATCTAGAAGAACGTTAAACCCCAAATATCTAAATAAAAAGAAACCTGGACAACAAATCAAAACAATAACCACTTCATAGACCCATGAGGGTATCACAGGTGTAAAAGGTTTCTGAACGCCTCTTCAAACAATATAATTTTCACCCGTTTTCTGAAGGCTGGAAGGGAGGGAGCCTCGTATATATCAGCAGGAAACACATTCCATAGCGATGCAGCCACCACCAAGAAGCCCCAGTTCTTGGTGGTATGTGTTTTTTTGTTTTGTTTTGTTTTGTTTTTTGGTCTTTTCTAGGTGTGGCTACGCACAGATGTGAAACTTGATTGGATCGGGTGGCTGGACAGTCTTAGAAAGAGATGCTAAGATGGTTTGTTTGGCAGGGTTTGTGTGTATGTGTGTGTGTCTGTGTGTTTCTCTCAGTTTCCTGCCTCTGTCATGGGCATTATGCTGTACTTTCACAGGGCTGTAACTAATTTTCAATTTATAAAAAGACCCCAGCTCTACCTACTACAGTACTTGGCCAAGTTACATGCCTGTGAGATTCACCAACTGAAGGAAGAAGTAGCTGTGGGTTTAAAGAATGTTCACATGTTTTGGGGAACGGGTCCTTTCTTTAATTGAGAATCTTGGTCAAGGTATCTTTCTTTGAGCTTCACCAGTTTGGGAAGTGGGACTGACCCTTCCCCTATGGAGCCCTTTTGGAGTGCCATCAAACACTCTAATTTGAAATGTGCTTACCACTGCAAGATGATTGGGTGGTTAATGCACTATGTATGCTATTCAGACCATACTCAGAGGGAAGGTCTCATTAAAATAATTGGGGCTTCTGTATGACTGTGCACAGGCTTATATTGTTACTTGCCTTTTGAGTATGTTATACAGTAAAAACTCTATATGACTAGATCTAAATTATTTCCTTACTTGTGTTAATTGTTTTATTGATCTCTGGCTGTAAATCCAGTATATTCCCTAGTCACCCAACTACAGATATTTAGGGAATGCCTATGAACAGTGTTTTATCTAGGGGAAAGGAATTTGCCCTTTTGCACTGTTTTGTTGTTTGGAAATCACACATTTCAACTTATCTTTGTGTGTACTTGCTTTTGAGCTTTTGTATTTACCCTCTCCCTTCCTAGCGGTTCTGTTTTAAGATGGCCTTCATATGATGGCCATATAATGTGTGTTGTTACCGTATATTTTTTTTATCAAGATACTGTATATAGGATGAATGTCTCACATTACTACGTGATAGCCCGCCCTAGATTATCCACATCCATAAATACAGAGCATCTATAGTTAAATATTTCCCATGATGAAAAAGCTATTGTTGCTGTGCTGGTCTCTAATTTTTAAAAGTACTATGAGTGTTCCTTTTCTGTAGGAGTCAACAAAACCATTCATATACAGTACTTAAAATGAAACAGGTGGCTCAAATGAAAGCAAAAATCAAATTTATACACATAACACATCATTTTGTTTTGTTTATTATATTTCTGTGATTCAGGTTTAATATAGGAATAGTGTAGAGTTTTTAAAAAATCATTTTTAATTTAAACTGTGGTTTAAACCATGATTTAAAATGATTTTTAAAAGGGTCCCTTCCCCAGCTGAAAGGGGCTCTCCCCACCATTTAGGCATCTTGAACACAACTCCTACTAAAAGAGCTGTAAAACAAGGTTTGTTTTCTTTATGTTCTTTCTGCAAGAACATATTTTATTTTTATTAATGTAGATTAATTATTGTACATTTTATGTATGTAGATTTTATTAATGTAATCTATTTGCCATGACTTGGTTTTAATTGTTGAAGGCCAAGGCTTATTAATTTGGCGTGTAGCCTGCGGGTTGAGTAATTAAAGGAATAAAGAGTTTTTGTAACAATAACAAAAATGCAGAATTTAAGGGAGTTGCTGGATGCTGATTTGATTTCAGTGGAGCTAAATGTTTTATGTAATTCTTTATTTCCTAGGAACTTCAGATAGTGAAGATCTGGAACTTTAAATGCACTTGTTTGCATCATTTTCTTGCATGAGGTGTAGTTAGATATAAAATACTTTGCCCAAGGCAGCAGTTTCCATATCTGCTAAGTCTAATTAGAAAATCAGCCTGTAGTATAGTAGCCAGAGACATTATCTGCCTAGATCCTATCAAATATTTGTTGGTGTTTTTCCCCCCTTAAGGACTTTTTAAAATCTAAACAAGGAGAAATATTAGGAAAGAACAATAATGATACAGGAGGAAGGCTGTTGTCTGTATAACCAGATGTTCTTCTCTTCTCATTAAATTGTCTTAATTACACTTGGCAAAATTTGAGGCATATGGACACAGATTTTGGATTTTACAGGCAACTGTGGTGGTCAAATATGTCATCTTAAAAAGATGTGAGGCCCTTACTATGCCACGCATGTGGCATTAGATGGGAAATTTCACAGAACCTAGACACAAAAAGAGAAAGTACTGTTCTCTGTCTGTATCATGTTTTTCCTTATTTACCTTTTTTAAAAAGCCAAACAACCCCAATGCTTAATCATTTTGGTGGTTATTTCTGCATCCTTATGTGGTGACAGAACTGTATATGGTATTCCAAGTGTTGTCGCATCAGCGATATGTATAAGGAAATGTGATGTTGACAGTTTTATTTTAGTTTCTTTTCTAATTATGACCAACATGGAATTTTCCTATTTTCCATCAGCTGACTCAACATTTTCACCATGTTGGGAACCAGAGCTTCAAGCAGCTGCTACCTCAGATTCCATATGTGAAGTTGGGCTGTTTTGAACTAATAGGCCTCCGCCCCCTTTATACTTTTCCCTACATTTGAACTGCACTTGCCATTTTAATACCGATTCTCCCTAGATCAGAGAATTCTTTTCAAGTTCTGGGCATTGTGTGTGTGAAATATTTTTGTGTCAGCAACAAACATGGCCATCTCACGGCTTACTCCTAATTCCAGACAATGTACAAAAGTGTAGAAAGAACTAGTTCTAATACAAATCCCTGTATTATAAAGTGTTATTAGTTGTGTGTTCATAATCAGAAGAGTAGAAATATATATATTTCTTCACATATTTGAGAAATAAAATATATGTTGCCATCATTATGTCATTGTTATAATCACTAATGAAATACCAAGTTTCTTATGATATAAATGGATTTACTTTCTGTGGTGGACAGAGATATAGAAGGATGGGGAATAGCAGGTTTTACCTTTGTAACACTCACAAGGCAAGCAGCGCAGAAGTTAGCATATTTTTCACCTTCAGAAAGAGACAATATTTGTGTTTCTCTTTTGTTTTAATACCTATGTGCATGAAATGAACAGGTGTGTGTGTTAAACTGAAGTAATGTTTGCATAAATACAGCCGGAAGTGTATGGAGGTTTATTTTATAGAGAATTCTTCTTAATGGTTTTTTTTTCTTTTCTTATTCTTCTATAGTGAGAACTTTTGTCCAAGCAGTCATTCATGACAAACCCAGCCTATTCAGTTTGACAGGACTTTGTGTACTTTAGCTGCAGATATTTGTTTTGTTATTACTTCAGAATAGCAAAGAATAGTCACCCAGCTGGTTATACTGGTCTCTATAACTAATATGACATTCTGTGCTTTATCAAATCAGATCTTTAAAACCCATTCAAACAGGAGAGAAAGGAAGCAATGTAATTCATTTCAGGGTTAAAACTTTGGTGATTTTCTAGGATGAAAAATGTTTTCTTTGTTCCTTCTCACTTTATCTGGTAATCCTAAAAGAGTCCTTTCTGACAAAAAGAAAACCACAAGAATGCACATTCTTTCTTGGGAGAGCAACTGTTTTCACTTGCTATATTTGCCTTATGTATTTTACATTTTATCAGAAGCATTTTTGCTATTTTCTTAAATCTTCACTTTGCTTATGCATTTGTTTCATTTATATTCTGCTTTTCTCCAAATTTACGGATCCAAGGTATCTTACAGAATGAGGGGGAGGGGAAAACAATCACAGATACCTAAATCAAAATGTTTTAAATGGTCTGAAATGTAGTAATATTAGAAGACTGTTAGTTTAAAACAATGTAAAAAAGATGTAAATATATGCATAATTGTTTTTTTTTGAAAAAGCTTTTTAAAGAGAAAAGTGCAGCATCGTTTGTTAAAATTTCTCTGCAACACCATCAGTTTCCAAATTTATTAGCTGATTCAGTTTTGGGGCATACTAGAAGGAGATTATGTAAACTTGCACATTTTGTGCATGTAATTGACATAATTTTAATATTGTTTTTCTTATTTTATGGCAAATCAGAATTAGTGGTTTTGTTGTGATTTACTGATGAGAGAAATGTAGCTGACATGAAGAGGCTGGATGGCTCAGTGAGTTAGGGATGTGGAACCAAAGGTTGGGAGTTTTGATTCCCCACTGTGCCTCATAGGAGAAAAACCGGCCTGTGTAGCCCTGGGCAAGCTGGACAGTCTCAGAATGGCCACCCCCAGAAAAGGAGAATGCTAAACCACTTCTGAATACTCCATACATATAAAGCCCTGAGAAGGGGTGCCATAAATTGAATATAATTATTTATGATTGTGTTTCCTTTTATAGTTGTGGAGGTGATACTCCATGTCCCCCAGTGTTGTGTCTGCTTCATCTAACTTCTTTAGATTGTTTTGGATAAGGTGTCATTTTTCTTTTTTTAAAAAAAAACAACTTTTTTTTTGTTTTTTGCACTTTGGCAGTAGTCCTAGACTTCTGGAGTACTCCTGGCTTTGCTCCTGGATGTCCAATTATCAGGTTTGACCAGGGATGCTTTTCTGCTGATCTGGAATGTGGCAACAAGGGTTTTTGTGTAGAGTTCTCACTGGGAACATCTAGAATGTGTTATCTGTTCACACCTACTACAATTCCCAAAAGCCTTCACCACTAACTGTGCTGACCAGGATTTCTGGGAGTTGTAATGTAACAACATCTGGGGACCCAAGGTTGGGAACATCTGGTAACTGATTGGGGTCTATAGTATAGAGAAAGAGTGTCTCCTGACACACATATATTTTAAGATCTGGAGAGGAAGCTTTCCGCTGTATACCAGCAGTGGCACAAGTTTGATTAGTTGGAACAAAGAAAATGGTCATGCTGAGGCCCTTCTACCACCTGACCAAGATAATTTTGTTCTAGCTGCTATTTGGCCTGTCAGGTTGACAGGTTTGGTTGAACTGATCTTGAATTGTATTGAAGATGATTTAACTTTTTTTCCCCCCTTTCATTTTTCATGATATGTTTTGTAATTGTTCTTAACTTATTGTAACTGCCCTGTAAAACTGTTACTGAAGTGGAAGTGTGGGTATAGATTTCCTGAATGAATACAGACATGCACTTCTTTGAGGAGAGCAAACATCTCCCCAACCATGCACTTGGTAAATATTCATTGGGGGGAAATGAAACAGATGGAACACGAATCAGTTTGTTAATTTTCATATGTTTCTCCCTCACAGTGTTAATATTTTTGTTAACGAGGCACACACATAGACACGAAAGTTGAAACATCTAACTTTTAAAGTGAACCTTTGTTTTGTCTTTCGTTCAACTTTTCAGGAGAAACCACTACAACAGTTTCACCATTTGTTCCAGGAGGTGTTAGTGATGGACAGTGGCATTCGGTCCAGGTTCAATACTACAACAAGGTAAGCCAAGATATTCTAGGAATATTTTTTGTCAGATGAATGGATCTTAATGCAAATGGGCTGACCTATATACCAAAATGAGCCACAGTCATTTTTCAGACTTGCACTGGGCCAACATGGTTTTGCTGGAATGGACATTTTTATTTGGAGACATGATGTACATTTTGAAGAGCAACAGATTAGCCAGGTCAGTTCCATAGAACTATAGAAATGAGACCAGACCTTTGAAACATTACCCAAAGAAGTAGTGCATTACTTGTTGCTTTTTTAAAGTAAAAATATTATTCATGTTAAAAAAAAAGCTTAGCCATATGGTCCATAAAGTAGTGCATTACTTGTTGCTTTTTTAAAATAAAAATATTATTCATGTTAAAAAAAAGCTTAGTCATATGGTCCATAATTAAAATGTTAAAAAAAAAAAAACCAGAGTTGAGCAATATCATTATTTGGAGTAGTGCATTACTTGTTGCTTTTTTAAAATAAAAATATTATTCATGTTAAAAAAAAGCTTAGTCATATGGTCCATAATTAAAATGTTAAAAAAAAAAAAACCAGAGTTGAGCAATATCATTATTTGGTCCACCAAAAAAAAAAAAAAAAAAAAAAAAAAACCAGAGTTGGGCAATATCATTATTTGATCCACCAAAACATACTAAGAGAAAAGATGAGGGGAGAAATTCAGCTTTGGAGTCCTTCAAAACTTCTGACTTAGCATTGCAAAATATAGGTGGGGAATGAGATGAATCAAAGAAGCTCCAAATTCATCCTGGTGAGATTATTATAATTCAACACAGGGCCCATTTGCTTTGACTAAATGCTAATGAGTTGAATGTTTGCGGAAAGCCCTTTGTTTATAGCTGTAGCGGCCAGTCTCCAAGGGTCTAAGGGGGCAGCACATGTCCATCCCAGGGCTTTGGGGAGCCACATTGCTCCCGTGACTTCCATTGCCAAAAAATTGGGAATGAGATAGGATTTCAACTGCATATGCCCTCTTGTTCTCATGACTAACTAACATATTTTTTTTAAAAAAATAATATTTTGGGCTCTCTCTCTCTCTTTTTTTAAAAAAATAATATTTTGGATGGTGTAAAGGCACTGGGATGCTTGAGATGCCTCAGACCATGGCAAAATTGTCCTTTATGTGCCCTAAAGAGCACAGAGTGACCCTTTGAGCAAAAAATTTTCCCCAAAAATTGTGGGGACGTGCTGGGGGCTACATGTAGCCAATGTTGTCCATGCTTGACCTATAGAGATGGGCAATAGGTTCTGTATCTCTGGAGGTGTAACCTAATCACACCATAACTCCACCTGACTCTCCATGGCATGCAGGCCAGCACCAAGAACATAGTTCTCAATGTCTTCATTAAATGCCATTTTTAAATTTAGGCATATACAGTGATGTTATTAGCAACTAATTATCACTTGTAAAATAATTGATGTTATTATCAGATTGACATTCATATTTTAATGGAATCTATTGTGGGTCTCTTAATTAACCAACAGCTTTCAGTGAATTACCTGTAGGAAAATTGTGAGAAAGGGGATTTTTCATAGGTGGGATGGGGCAGGGTTGGTTAAGATGGAGGTTACAGCGGCAGAGGGACTTCTGAGCAGACTGAACATGCACCTCAGCATCTCCACAGTGTTACAAAGAATTCTGAAATACAACATTATCTCAGTGCATGTAAGAATCCAGCTATACCAAAGCCAGAGGGACAACCTCAGCATACCGTTGCTCCAGGGCACTTTTCAACAGTTGTGGAATTGTATTGCTCCAAATGACTGATTAGACTGCTCTTTAAGCAAAAGTGAGCAACATCTTTCATCCCAAGGTCCACATTCTGTTTCAAAGAAGTTCTTAAAGGCTGCATTCCAATGCAGTGAGAAGTCAGAAGCAAAATAGTGGGATAAAATGACAGCATACCACCACATTTTTGCATTATATGCAGATAAGACCACAGTGTTGACCTGCTTTGAGCAGTTTTATGAGGAAAACCCACCCATTCCTGCCTGCCCTTTAACTTGCGTTTTCTTTCACACGGCTTGTACAGCAGGGAAGCAAATATTTGTAATTTCCTCCTCGTGGTGCTGTCATGAATTTCCTACAATCTGTATCACACACTCTACTTTTGGGTGTTATTACAGAAAGTAGCTTTAATATAAAAAACTGATAAACTGACAGATGATAGAATAAGCCTTAGTTCTTTTGCTGGAGCCATTCCTCCCCATTGGCCTAGAAGCCTGGGAAAAGGAGTACGTATCAGCTGAAGTCTGGCTTTCATAGTTAAGTTGTTGGTTTAGAATTCTAAGCAGCTGCCAAAAAGATAAGGACTTGAGACAGCTCCAGTATATTCTTTAAAAGGGAAAGTGATCACACATACTAGTTAAAAATAAATTTTAGTCTCATTTTCATGATTCCATGATTTTTGTTCAAGTGATAGATATATTCTAGCAGTGCAGTTATTCAGGTTTGAGAACAGTTGAGAAGAATATATTTCAGTTTTACTTAATGCTCAAACAATTGCTTATATTGCTTTTTAAAAATACAAATTCCGTCACTGTTGAATTTATAATTACTTTGCTGTTTAAGAATGAAGTCTGTATTAATGTAGACCTGGACTCTGTAACCTGTTCACGATCACAGGCAAACATTTGGCTATTTATTTATTCCTTTAATCCAGTACTCAAAAGTAGTTTTGAAAAGTTAAAATGGCAAGAATACATTTATAAAAGAACATTAAAATGCCACAATGTAAAGACAGTATAAATGCAGTTAGCAGAATCAGAATGAAAATCAGGCTGCACAGAAGCAATGCTGCAGTGTTACAAAGGCTTTAAATGCCAAGGCTTTAAATGTTTTCTGGGCATCAAAGTGACATCAGGTTAGGGCCGGGTGAACGTCTGTGGGGAGAGCAGGGTACAACCAGGGTACCACCATTAAGTAGGCCCTTCTCCTTTGGCCACTTAGTATACCTCGTATACCTCATATATACCTGAGGAAGGCTGGTGGTGTACCTTGCATAATGTTTTGCCTAAGTTTTTAGGGTGGGGTTGACAGAGATGCTGTGCCAAAATAGGCATGCATATGGAATCTACTGTATTTGAAAACAAAAGGGAAGTTTCTTTTCTCTTTGAGTCAAGAGGTGCTCCAGGAGCTTTTCTGGGTATATAGGAAGGTATGTATAATAGAGGAGACCATTTTCAGTGTGCCTCCGCTGGACCGCAGGGTAGTACAAGTGCTGTTAAGTCACAAGCTTGCCTTCTGCTCTCTTTTTCTGCTAAGTCTTCCTCCAGTAGCATGACTGAAACAGACACCCAGATTTCTCTCTCCCAGTGCTACACCTTGGGAAGCAGTTCAGTGGCAGAATCTTGTTTTAACAAGGCCTAAAGATTAAGTCAATACGAGTGGTTTCCTAGAACAGAGGTAATTTAGGGATTATAGCTTTTGCCAATATAAATGGGATGTTATGTCTAAACCTGAGGGGATTCATCCGTGTCAGAACAACTCAAATGTATTGGTTTCATTTACATTACATATAGAGAGTAGGTTTGGAAAGAAGGTAACATATTTTACTAATGTAAACTCTGTGTCATTTCCATGTTTCTTTTAGATTCCTCTCACTGCACAGTACAGTGAACCCTCGACTTACAAACTTAATCCATTCCGGAAGTTTGTAAGTCAAAAAGTTTGTAAGTCGAATCAGCATTTCCCATAGGAATGCATTGAAAACCAATTAATCTGTTCTGGCTGTTTTTGGTTCTTAAGTCGAGAGGCGGTTTGTAACTCGAATCATTAGTTCCCATAGGAACTAATGAAAAGCCAGTTAATCCATTCCTACAACTAGGGGCCGAATTTTTTTCCTTTTTTTCCTTTTAACCTAAAATGACTTAGGTTTTAAAAAAAGGAAAGAAAAGAGGAAGGGAAGGAGGGAAGAGGCGCCTTTTCAACAGAACGCCTTGAAAAACACCTTTTCAACCAAGACAAGCACCTTCTGGGAAAAACCAAGCATCTTTCAGACAACAGATCACCTTGAAAAGCAACTTTTCAATCAAGACAGGCCAATACAAGCACCTTTTGGGAAAGGGGGGGTAGTAAAGGCAGGAGGGAACACCTTTTAAAAATCCAAAAATCAATACAAGCACCTTTTGGGGAAAAGGGGGTAGCAAAGGCAGGAGGGAACATCTTTTAAAAATCTAAAAATCAAAATTTTTTTAAAAGCCAAAAAAAATACAGTCCATACAGCGCTGTACCAAGCAATACCAGGCAGTACCAGGCAGTCCGAAGACTGTTTCCAAATCCACTCTCAAAACGCTGTGAAGAGCGAGGAAGCAGACAGGCACCCTCTTCACTGGCCAACGTTAACTGAAAGTTCGAATTCGTGCTTTCCCCACCTCCCGCAAGGTTTTTTTGGTTCGTAACTTGAATCTAAGTTTGCAAGTTGAGTCTATATTTTTCTATCAGAGCGGTTTGTAAGTTGAAATGTTTGTAACTAGGGCCGTTTGCAAGTCAAGGGTTGACTGTAAATAGAAACTAGTAATTCTCTGTTTTTTTTGGTTCGTAACTTGAATCTAAGTTTGCAAGTCGAGTCAATATTTTTCTATCAGAGCGGTTTGTAAGTCGAAATGTTTGTAACTAGGGCCGTTTGTAAGTCGAGGGTTGACTGTAAATAGAAACTAGTGATTCTCTGCGCCTGAGTGTCATAATCAGACATATTCTCTCCATTGCCTTCTTCATGGCTTAAACCTTATATCACCATTACGATTGCATGGCCTGTTGTGATTTGCATGATCTATTGTGATTTGTCTATCCCCTTCACCAATTCACCTTTACATGTTTCTTAATACAGCGCCTTGTCACTGTGGCATTGTGCTGTAGTGTACAGTGGTATGCTAGCACCCTGGGAAGTATCTGAGTGAGGGGTGTGCCATCATCTCAGACTCCACCCAGTGCTTGCCACTACGTAACTATAGTGCCACACTGCAATGGGGGGAAAGCTGAT